GATAACACAGAGATGTTTTAGTTATTGCTGAGCAGTGCTTATACAGCATCAAGGCCTTTTCTGCTCCTCACACCACCCCACCAGCAAGTGGGCTGGGGGTGCACAAGAAATTGATGGGGACACAGCTGGGACAGCTGATCCCAGCTGACTAAAGGGATATTCTGTACCACATTACGTTCTGATCAGCAATAAAAGCTGGGGAAAGAAGAAGGAAGGGAGGACATTTGTAGTGATGGCATTTGTCTCGAAGGAACGATTACACATGATGGAGCCCTGCTTTCCCGGAGATGGTTAAACACCTGCCTGCTGATGAGAAGTGGTGAATGAATTCCTTGTTTTGCTCTGCTTGCATGTGTGGCTTTTGCTTTACCTGTTAAACTGTCTTTATCTCAACCCTCACTTTTACCCTTTCAATTATCTTCCCCATCCCATTGCAGGGAGTTGCAAGCGAGTGGCTGTGCGGGGCTGAGCTGCCTACCTGGGCTAAACCACAGCAGTTCTCCACATAATATATGCCTTCATTAGTAAGACATCTTGTAAATCAGATCCCCTTTTACCAACGCTCGTGGTCTATGCCATTTTTACCACTGGTACCAAGCAAAGTGGTAAAAAAGCTAAGTCAACTCCAGGAGACATCATTTTATTAGGAACTTCCAGAAGATCCTAATGCTCATGAAAAGTCTTACATACTTTCTACAGAAGTATGTATATGTACATGTACATGTATATGTATCTGTGAGAAAGAGTATGATGAAGTATTTCCTAACAGGAGACCTTCAGAAAGTTCCCATAAGCTATTAAATACTGCTATACAACCTATGGCATAGATTTTTGACGCATTAGATTTGTTAGTAAAATTGAAATGAAAAGTACGTCCATGAGATTTTACCTTACTCTGTCTCTGAACATAGACCCAGAACTCATGAAATATACACACATTCGCCAAATTAAGAGACACTGAAATCAAATCCAGAGACAATGTATGAAGTGATCTTCTCCACTTCACTGTTAAAATTCACAGCTCATGTACACATGCAGACTTGTCCTGTTTACACACTTCCTACAAATTATTCTGTGGATGCACTTGATTCTTACCATTTGTTCTTATTTTTCAAATTAGCTCATGGCTGACCATATACTTATTATCTGGGCAGTTGGTCTAAGTGTTTTCAAGTCACTGGTTAATCACAAAGAAGAAATAGCTTTCTGTAAAACTATTTGTTACTTGTAGCCCACTTGATACTGAGAAGTGTCACCACAGCAAACTCAAAAAGGTTAGCAGAGATACAGCCAGGTCAACAAAAATTCCATATCTATACTAGCCTCGGTTGATATGTGACAAAAATACATTTTCATTTCTCAAAATTTATGACACCCCTAACTCAGAGTCATTCTATGATCATCTAATAGTTCTGAATTTTTCTTTCTTTTCCATTGTGATTCCCAGCTGATGAGTCTCTAGTGTTACATTTTTTGGCTTGTTTCCATTAAAACTTCATACTAGTTCTCTGATTTTACTCCTTCTCCAGTTAGTATGTTACTCTAAACATCCTGTATATTGGTAGTGTTTCATATCCAAATTTAATTTATTTGTACTAACCTGACAAGACTAATACTGAACATGATAAATAAAATCCAAGATTACTTTTTGAAATGCTGCCCCTAACCTTTCTCCAGAATAACATCTTGCCTTAACAGACAACTTTTTGCCGTCCTTCATATTCCTATAAACTTACACGTACACTGCACCTACCTTACACCTATCCCTATATTCTGCAATTTATCAGACAGGTTCCATAGTAAAAACATTCCTGACTTTCAGTGTTGCATGCTACCAAGAACTAGCTCATGTAATTGACATTTCCTAGGTCTCTTGTCATTTCTTAAATACTGATGCTGTGTGACAATCTCCAGGAATAGGATGCTACTTTTGACATACAAATATTTTTTGAGATTTTATACCATATTTGTTCCACTACATTTAGATGGAGATTTACTCCTCTGACTTGAACACACTGTTTCGGTTTTAATTTCACTGTGAAAACAATAACATCCATTTGTATATATTAATTAATTAATTGATTCATTCATTCATTCATTCATTCATTCATTCATTCATTCATTCCCCCTTCCCTGTTTTTCCTTTGTTCCACTCTTTACTCCAGCCAGCAATTATCAGGAAAGCAAAGTATTCCGTTTGAGGGAGAGAGACTAGATTTTTCACCCCATCCTCGCTAAAAAAGAGCTCAACTTCTTCATCTCAGAATTTCTTTACATTTTTACAAGTGATGTATCTCTTACTATTTATCATTTTTTATCACAATCTAATATAATTTGAATGTTGGCAAATCTTTTGCTATTTCTAACCTCTAAGCCACAACTTTCTATTCATTTGGTGGTTGACAGACTACTTCTAATATCTTGTTTGAAGTCAGCCCCTTTGCAATTAAGCCTGGTGTTCTTCCTTATACATTGTTCTTCTCGCTTATTAAAGAAATTTCAAAGCTTTCACCATATTCAGCTGTTCAACTGATTTCACTAACTAGTTCCGTCTATCTTCCCTACAGCATATGCTCTTAAAGCTGAAATGCTTAGATTTCAACCAATTTGTATTTCTACTTGCATTTAGTTTAACCTGATGGAATCCATGATTACTAAAATCAAGATTATATTCTCTGAGTAGAACAAGCTCTCTGAATGTCGCTAAATGATGCACACCTATATGTCTTTCTACTAAAATCAAATTATATAGCTGTCTCGCCCATGTGGCCTTCCCTTTTTTTGTAATTATGTATATTGAATAGTACAAATCAATACTCTCGGGCCAGGAGTATTTACTTCTTTTGACTCCGGAATTTACTTTTTTACAGATCAAGGATTTTCCAGTAGACTAATCATTTAATGGATTGTGTTAAGAGTTGCTAAACCATACAGCCCAATGGACGAGAGGCTGACATGGCTCCATTTTCCTAGGCCTAGTCAGTAGCAAGTCTGAGCCCATATTCCTAATAGGCGCACACACACACAAAATGTATACACAAATATATATATAAATATGAATGTGGCCAACCACACATATCAACATAGACACAAGCACTCAAGCAAACACCAGTGGCATGAACGGTGCAATCCTGTTCTCCTCTCTGGCATGGGCCCCTATGACCTGAGGTGTGACTCTTGCTGCTGGCACTTCCATCCCATACACACACAGAGAACAGGGAGTCCTCTCACCCAGTAGAAGAGTTAGAAACAGAGTTTACTGAGGAGATGGGAGAGACTGTGCTGATCAGGCACAGGGCGTAGCCAGACAAGCGTAGTGACCAGCAGCCTGTATACACAGGACTAGTCCTATTTACCTCCTCATCCCACTATTTTCCCATACTTGTTCATTCCCACATCACCTTGATCCCCTCCTTTCCCCACTTTTGGTTCTTGCACTAAATAACCCATAAGCAGCCTTGTACAATCCCCAAATGCTCTTCCTATTATGCATCCCATAATGTGTCCTGTACCCCTAGGCAATAACCCCCTCAATCTGTGAGGCGACGTATAGGGCTTTTTGGTTGACTGCTGGGTGGCCCACCCACCCCCTCAAGCCCCGTGGGGCTGAGGCTCCCCTGGAACAGCCCTGGAAGTACTGGGCAGGGGTCCCCTTTCTCTGACCCAGTTATTGGGGCTCCCCTGCCTGCCCACGTGTCCCTGAGCTCCTCTCTGTATGTGGAGATGAGCCTTTAATCACTTAACCTAACGCACAGTAAACGGGGATTAAATATCACTGTTGAAATGCTGCCAGTGCCGCACATTCAGGTCTGGTAGAAGGGGTTCAAGGCAGGGAGTAAAGAGGAGCAGCCCAAAATTAGTGCAACCGTAGGACTGCACAGGTACAGGTAATCAAATCAAAGACACTGGCACAGTTAAAAGCCTTGCCACAACCCCTATGAAAATAATCACAGTGAATGTCCAAATGAGAGCTCAGAGTTTTTCTATTTCATCTGAGAGACAGAGATTAAAATCTTTACATTAATGAAATTCCTCTCCCCTTTTCTGCTTTCCTCTACCACTACAGACAACCTTCCTACCTACACCCAAGCTACCGAAGCAGCTCTTCTCCTGCATCAGACCTCACCACCATGAAAAACATCAACATTTCCAACTCGGGTTTACTCCAAAACCTTGCTGAGGCACCACTTGGCTACCACAGGTCAAAAGAGCAGGTGTGGTGCCGTGGAAACACCTGTGCTCACAACATTTGTGTTCTCCTGGGATCTCGTCCAGCAGGACTTTTCTTGACCAGACACAGCCCTGCCTTGCTCGTGAAATACAAAGTGCTCTCAGACTACGATGATTTGGTGACGTGCGTTATCGATCTGAACTGGACCGCCTGGTGTTATTTATGCAGCAACATAATGTGCTTGTCCTCCACACGGGATGGGCCCGTGGGACTGTAAACTGTGACAGGAATCCAGCCTTCTTTATGAGCCTGTCAGTTAGCCAGTACGTGCACAGCACTCTGTATGGAACAAAAATAGACATGCTGCCTACTGGTGGATCTTAAAAATATCAGGACGCCCTTGGTAAGGCAGAAGTGTGTCCCGGCGACCTTGAGCGCCGTGCCTTTGCTCTGCTCTCCCCCCTCGAGGCCCAGAACAAGGGCCGCCGGCAAAGAAACTCCCCCCTCCACCCCGTAAACTGCCGCATTTTTCAGGGGCACAGGCCGCGCAGCGCCTGGCGCGCCCTGAGGCCGGGAGAGGAGGGGGCGAGCTGGGCGCCCCCACACCAACAGGAGGGATTACAGCGGGTTTTCCTTCAACACAGACACACGCAAAGTTCTCCCGCAGGGAGGCTCTCCCCTGGCTCCGGCCTCGCAGCGGTGCGGGAGCCTGCCCTCCCCCGTTCCCCGCCGCTTGGCCCGGTACGGCCGGGCGGCGAGGCCCCCTCGGCGGCGGTTGGGGCGGGAGCGCCGCGCTCCGCACCGCCCCGCTGAGGGGACTCCCGAGAGGGGACGCGGCGCGGGGCGGAGCGGCCCATCCTGCCGCCGTGCCCGGGGAGGGTCCCCCCGGCCCGCAGCCGCGCCGCCGGGGGAACGCGAAGCCCCTCGCTGCCCCCCACCCCGGGACAGCGCGGGGGTGCGCGGTGCCGCGCGAGTCCCGGCCCCTCGGGGGGACGGGGCGGAGCGCCAGCGCCCCGCGGGACTCGGGCGGCGGGGCCGTCTCCCCCCTCCGCAGCGGGAGCGGAGTGCGGCGGCCCGGGGAAGGGGCGGGGAGGATGACTTCATGCCGCCGGAGCGCCGTGAATTTAGGAGCAGCTGCCGCCGCCGCCGCCGCCGGGATGTGGGGCTGAAGTGACAGCGGGAGCCGAGGGAGGGGCAGCGCCGGGCACCCCGCTCCGCTGAGCGCAGGGGCTGCGGGCCGCCACGGGCAGCCGTCTGCGGGGGGGGAGAGAGGAAGATGCGCTGAGCCGGTCGCTGGGAAGGTGAGCGGGAGCTGCCGGGCGGGCGGGCGCTGCGGCGCTTCGCCGGCTGCCGGCGCCGCTGGCTGCCGGCTGGGAGCGCGGGGGAGGCCGGGCTGGCGGCCCGGGGAGCAGCCGCCGTGCTGCGGGCGCGCCGGGCAGGGTCTGGAGCTGCGCTTGTAAGCCTTTGGCGTCCTCCTCCTTCCTCCCGCGGCCGTCCCCTCCAAAAGCGGAACGGCTGCCCTCTCGGGAGCGCCGCGGTGCTGCGCTTTATCTCGTGTTGCCAGGATGTGCGGTGGCTCCGTGCCAGCGCTCTGCCCAGCAGCCCGGGCTGGTTGCTTTACCCTTGTCGGGAGGGATGCCCTGGCGTGGAGGGGGGGCGCGTTTTGCCTGCGGCGCGGCAGGGGACGGGCGCGGGAGCGGGGAGGGCTGGGGGGCTCCGCGGCAGGTGCGGGACGGCGGCGCCGGGCTTCCCCCGGCGCTCTCCGGTGCGATGTGCGTCCCTCGGGTGACGGGGAAGACATCTTAGGGCAGAAGGGCTTCAGGGGGACAGAGGCTAAAAAGGATGTCGTCTCATTTACGTTCCTGGATTTGGAAGCCGCCTCGCTGGGAACTGGAGGGAGTGTAGAAGTTGGGACAACCAGGCCTGGTACCAAAATGGATTCTTTTGAGGGGGGGGCGACGACGACGATGACGACGGCGACACTTCTGTCCATGTTTTTTTTTTTTTCCTTTTTCCATTTTTATCACATAGCACGAGGTTTGGGACAAACAACAGAGCAGCAAAATTCAAATGCCTTTGTATGCTAAGCGGAAGAATTAGTGAGTTGCTCTTCCATCATATCACCTGTAGAAGTGGAAAAGCAAAAGTACATGCAGCATTGTAACTTGGCCGTTGGCACTGTACACTGTTTGTGGTACGTACACAGGTCTTGACGTTAGATGAATGCTCTTTTGGAATTGAGTGGAAGGGAAAAATCTGCCTGGCCTATGGCTCTGTCTGATATGTCGGTGACTTCGGGGTTTGTTTTTCCTTTGTTCTGCTCTAAAAAAGGTGGCTCTAAAGCAGGCATGTCAATACAGGAGACTAGGGTGGGCATGCAGAGGCAGATCACTAGAATGAGCACTATCTGCATGTAGTGATGGTTAATGGCTCTCTGTGGTTTGGTTTGGAAGCGAAAGCAATGATTGCGCCTCTGGGAAGAAAAGGAAAGGGTATTAATCTGTTCTTAATGAAAAAAAGGAAGCAGGATGTTGGAAGCTGAAGGTTATTTTGTTCAACGTCTATTTACTTGTATGTTCATCTTAAAGGATCCTGTTATCCCGTGTGCTCACAGAGCAGCTCACACAGTTGCGGGATCCCAGTTTTGGTTGAGGCCTCTGGTCATGGTGCTGGAGTGATAGGAGTAATAGGGAGGTAACAGGCAGTTGCTTGGTCTGATGCTGTTATTTCTGGGAAGGTGTTTATATACGTGTATTTTCCTCGGTACTGTTGCTGGGTAAGCAGAAGGCGAGTGATGGCTACAGGGACAGGAAACGTGTATAAAAGACAACTGAGGCTTCACAAGGCTGAAACAGAGTGACTGGTGAATTGCAGTGTCAGAAATCAGTTCAACTGATAAATCTTTGCTCTGAAGAACAGTCATCAACTATGACCCTCATATAATCTTGTTCTTTTTATGTACTCTGTGGCACCACAGCATTTCAAGATATATATAAAACAAAAAATCTAATTCCATCAAACCCATATCTTTCGTCTACCAAACATTTACTTTGTTCCTGTAAAACATTTGGGAGTCTGAGTTAGGACATCTCTACTGTTTTTTCCTTGCCAGAAAAGAGCAGAGCTGGCTGTCTCAGCAGTTGCAATTTTGTAGTCATTTTCTGATTTCTCCCCTAATTGACTTTGGCAGGAAAAAGAAACCATGTAGCTGAGTTCAAAGACTTCTCATAGTAGTCCACCCCTTTTATATAAAGTCAATTTCTTCACTGAAGAGAGCTTCAAGTAATGGTCTCCCATTCTGTTGTTGCAAATACAGGGTAGTATGGGTATTCACTAATGTTGACACAATGTTATCACAGTAAATTTGGCTGTTTGTGCTTCCTAGCAAATCTAAATAATGTTTCACAAGAAAAACAATGCGGTGGCAGGGATGAAGTCGTAGTTGGCTAAGAGCCATACATTATTGTAGATGTGAATGTACATCTGATTGGTCTGACACAGAAGACTTGAACCTAATAACTAATTATCAGTGTGAATATAGTCCAATGGTGTAACTGATGTAAATCCACTTCCTACAGACTTCTCTCCCAGAACTCCTCTTCTTCCTTCTGTTACAGTAACTTCCATACCTCTGCCAAGCAAAGAAAAACATCTTTATTGTGGTTGATCTGGGTCAACAGCCCTGCTGACTGGAAGAACAGCCTAGTTGGCCAGCAGGTTGATGCCAGACAGACTGGGTAGCAGCTGAGATTTAGCTGCCTTTTCCTCAGAGGGTCTGCTATTTTGGAACTCTTTGTCTGGGTTAGTTCTTCAATTTTGTAAGAGCTTAATTATCTTTGAGATTTCTAGGCCACAGTCAGCCTTTGAACCAGCAGGTTCATTTGATCAAATTTATGAGTGGGGGCCAGATGGGTATGTTTGCATAAGGCTTGTTTCCTTAGGAGAACAAACTGGAAAACCCAGTAACCTTGAATGCACTTGAAGTTGCAGAGGTTTTATTTCACTTGTGGCCCTTTCCAAGGGCTGAAATGAAACAGTTCAGTTAATGTATTTTTTACTATTATGAGAATCTTTAAAGCTGATGTTTCTAAGTGCTGTTTGAACTAAATGAAATAACCACATTCCAGAGCAAGCATGTAATTTTTCAGTTATGTTATTACTAGGCTTTGAGTGGGATTATTTTCCCCAAATTAAGAATTCCTTAAAGGAAGGCTCAAGCAAGATGTGAGTGGACAGATATTATACAGTGAATTTAAGACTATGTACTTTAGCATGTGCAAACAACCAAGAGTATTTTATCGGTAGTGATACCATTTTTTCTTCTACAGAACAAATGTATTGACACTTTCCAAATGCATGCCCTTTATGTTCAGTAGCTAACACTTCTAGGTGAGAAAAGATTTCCACCTGAGAAATAAAAGCATAAACTTAAACTTCATCTCCTACTATGTAAATGGACTTCATGTTCAACTCTAATTATTGTCAGCTGAAGATCTTTATGTGAGTGGACAGTCAACTGCAAAGGTACCAATTGTTAAGGAGAACTAAGAGTTTTATCCATTTAAAATATGTTAGTGGTGGGAAAAAGACAGACATTAAATATTTTTTTATCTTGAATTTGACCTAATCAAGTAAGTCAGTTCATCGCAACCCAGGTAACGAGCTCCTGAGTTTAATATCTGAAATATGGAGATAGAAGTGAAGAGTATGTATGCTTCTTGCAAAAGCAAGCTGGTTTAAGCCTTTCTGTTGAACTGGACTGTATATGACAGCGACACAGGCATGAAACCATTTATTAGTTTCCTGATGCACTGAAAGGCTAGTTTTGAGAAAGTCTTCATAATGTTTACTTTTACAAAATGGCTCAATTAAAACAATATTATAAAAGAAAGGATCTGATGGTACAAGTACTGTGCGCCTCCAGTATATATCCCTATCTTTAAATATAAACAGAGGAGAAAGCAGCACAAAAGACACTCTCATAGGAGAGTTGGTGCAAATGTCCCAGTCAAATGCCAGATCAAATAATTTATTTTTTCTTCCTTTAATTCTTATGGTAGAACCAATATGATATGATAGTTATTCTCCCTAGCATACTGAAGATACGCTGCATTTCTGAGCTTCGTCACATTTCTGCAGTGGTAAAATGATTCCAGGGTATCTCTGCCCTTTTTCCCTGGGTGAACCAAGTATAAAACATGAACCCTGCAGAAGAGCCACAGTGGAAGAATTTCCATGTCAGTTAGGGTGTAGTTGTCTCTAGTAGAATTTCTTTTGTTTTCTAACCTTTATTAAAATCGGCTACATTGATGTTCTTTGGCTTTACAGGACTCATTAACCTGTCCTATGTTCAGAAGTTCTTTAAAGCAACTGTCTGGTCTTTACACAGTTGTGCATCCCTTTCTGCACTAGTGTCCCAGTGATTCATCAGCTGTGATAGGCAAATAGGTCTAACTCCAACATATAATTTTAGTTTCTCTTACTTCGACTGCTTTTTTTTGTCACATCTTTGTTCTAGCAACTGTTCCAAAAGACCCAAAGGTATATCAAAGTTATCTTGGCAGCTGTTAGCTAGCCTGTAAAATGTGCTGCAGCTTTAATGAGATCATATACATCTTATTATATCTATATAATTATATGTATTATATAATATATATATTTGCTAACTATTCACTCATTTGCCTCCTACCTCCTACAGAATTTCCACTTACACATATGGTGAGCACATAACTGTGGTGAAACGATCTCACCACCTGTTGTTTTAAAATAGCACAGATGCTTATTAATGGTCCTTCCGTGATACTGTTTATAGTACATGTTAAACCTCACTTAAAATACTGTGGATCATATTGGTAAAAGATATTATTACTTCAGCAGCAGCCTTAAATTAGTTCCTGTTCAGCATCTCTACTTGTTGATTTTCATAGGTAGAAGAGAGGTAAACTTCACAGGAGAGTCAAAGGTATGATGCTTAATGAGAAAGCTGCCAGTGAATCCTGTACAAGGTGTTCTGTGAAAATGACTGCTGCTATTTGGATAGCTGATCCACCTGAAGAACTGCAGAAAGTATGAGTGCACAGATTCTCTACAGTCAGAAGTCTTGAGCTCAGCTGAAGTGAACTCCTTCAGGCCAAGGCTCAAAAGCAGAGTTTTCACACTTCAAAGCAAGGGAAAGTAAAGAAGAGCAGAACTTGAGCCTTGATTAAGAGTGTCTCCCTACGTGTTTTTTTCCATGGAAAAATCTGTTCTAAACTCACTAAATTTAGGTAAACAAATGGTTCATCAATTGCCTGTTTTATTTGTCCAATCTAGTGAGTGACTTGGATCGTCTGTCTAATATTTCTGGTCTGTAACTCTCTAGATTTGTCTTCGAAATTTTTTTTTTTTTTTTTTTTTGTCTAACCTGGTCAAAGTAGAAACTAAAAATGTATCTCTACTTTGAAATCACTTATCCATAAGTGGACCAAGAAAAATTCTTGATGTTAAGTGGCAGTTCACTGTCATTCTCACTTCACTGAAATGTAAATTTAAAAGGGCAATCAGGATAAACAGACTGCTACTTTCAAACTTCCCAAGGTGCTTGCTTGAGGCACAGAAAGTTCTTAATATCTTCATGTTGCTAGTGAATTCCAAGAAAACACTATTATACACTGCAAAAAATATATAACAAAAAAAAAAATAAATGAAAGATGTGTCTTATTTAAGTTTAGCAGAAGCTTTTAGGAACTATAGGGCAAGTGTCTAATTCTTTTATGTGTGATTTTTTTTTTTTAATGAAATACATATGGAGACTTTTTATTTCTTTCCTGTGGTGCATGACAGATGGCATTAGTTGGGTTTAGTATAGATAGTGAATTAAAAAATAGTTGCTCATACTAGAACAGTGACTGTTAGATGCCTGTTCAAACTGTATAGGATGGACCAAAATCTCTTCTTATTCAGAAAAGCTGAGTGGCATATCATTATAGGTGTAGCCAGTAAGAATATATATCTGCTATTAAAATAAGACCAGTGACAAAATTCCAGTAAAGGATCCTTAGAGAACTAATGCATAAATTAAATGGAGTAATCATCTTTTGATACAGTCTCCCAGTGTTTGGTGCTCATCATTGATTAGGAGTTTCTGTGAGCATAAAGTAATGTTTGCACTATTATGTTTAATCGCAGTGGGTATCGTGTCCTCACTGCATGTGT